AATAAGTGAACATTTGGACACAGAACACCAAAAAAAAAAAAAATCCATAATCTCATCTCTCTTTTTCTGTCTTTTCCTTCCCTTTTACCTTTTAAAAACAACACAGAATGAACACTTTTTTTTCCTTTTAAAAACAAGAAAGAGTGAAAACAACTTTACATTCCTCCCATTAGTGGGTGAGAAAGCCTATTTGTTCATATCTTCACAGACACTAAATATTAGAAATATTTATAATTGTGGTCAAGCTAATAAGTGAAAATTTGGACACAGAACACCAAAAAAGTGTGAAATGGTGTTTCATATAATAGATATTTTTATTGTGAGATTGAATAACTTTTCTATGTTTACATGTCACCTGTATTTCTTATTCTCTGAACTATGTTATGACCTTTCACTTATTTTCCTCATGGGTTATGTGTAGTTTGTATAGTTGTCTTATTGATTTTAGTAACTATCTACATATTAGGAACATTAATCTCCTATCTTATATGTATGTGGCATTAATTAGTTGATCATTTGTGTGTTCATGTCTGTATACAAAGGTTGGAGAGGCACTAAGGGAAAACTTACCTTTTTCTTGTCAAAGTTTGTAAATATATGTATAACACAAGAGAGAGAAAATACTAATAAATGCATAGATTGGCTGAAATTGAGTATAAATCTTTCACTCCCCTACTTCAACGTAAGCTCCAAAAGGAGAGTGACTTTTCTTTCCTGCTGACTTCTGTATTCCTCATGCCTAAAATAGTGCCTAACACAGAAGAGGTGCTCAATCAATGTTTGCCGAATGAAAGAATTAGTAAATTTACAGTAGGATGACAGAATGAAGAATAGAATCTAGTCAGATACCTCTGGAAGAATGACTGTGAGTCATTCATATCTTAGTATGAATTAGTCAAATCCAACTCTCTCTCCTTCCCACTGTTACTAGAAGAATCTGTTTATTGAGAGAATAGATTTATAATTAGAATAAGTGAGAGGGACAAAAGAGAAGATTTTGAAGGATGGCACCTGAAGGAGGACTAGCATAGCTGATATAGTGAAGTGGAAGTCGTGAAGAGCTAAAGGGTAAGATGAAAGTATTTAGCTGTAGGGGGAAAAAGCATTGACAAGATGGAGAAATAAAAGTCAGATTCTTCTTGCTTTGAAATTTTGTACAGGGCAGGTTCTACTAGGTACATTACAATGCAGAAAAAACATGAAATAGTTGAGAAGAGTTTGGTGCAATATTATCTTCTTGGCTTCTTTTGAGTGGGCAGGTTTTTTTCTATAATAAATTAGAAACTGCTCATCTTGTAGTAACTTTTTTCATTTAACTTTATATGGCTGTGGGCTATAAAATGAAAGTATTGAACTTCTAATTCCCTGTTGGGGTTCCACAATTACAAGACAATCATGAGTGGTTATTAGAAGACTATCTCAATTAGAACTACTAAGTCCCATACTGCCATATTGTGTGTTTAATTATTAAGTAAAGCAGTCGTCTTTTTGTGTTTTCCATTATTAGGTTATTACAGAAAAATGAGGATATTTGCTGTTTTTATATTCATGACCTACTGGCATTTGCTGAACGGTAAGACACCAAACGCTTCCATTAGGTTCTATGTTTTAAATATTTTAACCATGAGTTTAAAACTAAAATGATAATTTAATATGCATGCAACTTTCTTATAGAGAGAACATTCTATTCTTTCTTCTACTTTACACAATGACAAAGTATTTCTTGACACAGGTGACTTTGTCATTGTGTAAAGATATAGAGAATATAGACAAATCAAAAGACATAAAATAATCCATTATCCATTTCCTAGGGATAACTACTGAAAATATCTGGGAAAACTGCCTGTATGTATACTTTTATTTGTTTGTTTTCAACAAAGCCAGGATCTTTCAGTCTTGGTTGCTCTGTGACATGCCTTTCCTGATGAGGATACTCTAAGGAAGAATTTTAGGATGCATGGAAAATGTCAGGGTAACACAGTAATGGCATCACCCTGTGGTCTTCCCTGAACTCCATACCGATGTACTTCTTGCCAGAAAACTGATCAAAAGTTTAGGGAAGTAAAAAGAGATGACTGTTAGAATCTACCATTCCCTGTATGTAGGAATCAAATAGGTTTCCAGCCAAAGGACATTCTGGGGATGTTTATGTGAAAGCAAGTCTCCCTGGTTGTAAGTACTCCATCTCCATATATTTCTACAGTAACCTATGTTTATAAATTGTGGAGGCAACTTGTTTAGCTAATTTTATTATTCTGTTATTGGGACACTATGTCTCGGCATGAGATAGAGTGTCCCAAAACATAATTCAAGCCCACTGGATAAACTATGTATTTTAGGGAAGCAAGTTCTTAAATATAGTTATAACATAACTGACCATCACTATAACATCACTGTAACGAAGTGATTTTTAAACACTGTGTCAATTTTGTAAATGTTTTGAGGAATTTTCCCTTTTCTGAAGATTGTTCTTCTTTCTTTTTAGCATTTACTGTCACGGTTCCCAAGGACCTATATGTGGTAGAGTATGGCAGCAATATGACACTTGAATGCAAATTCCCAGTAGAAAAACAATTAGAACTAACTTCACTAATTGTCTATTGGGAAATGGAGGATAAGAATATTATTCAATTTGTGCATGGAGAGGAAGACCTGAAGGTTCAGCATAGTAGCTACAGACAGAGGGCCCAGCTGTTGAAGAACCAGCTCTCCCTGGGAATTGCTGCACTTCAGATCACAGATGTGAAACTGCAGGATGCAGGAGTTTACCGCTGCATGATCAGCTATGGTGGTGCTGACTACAAGCGGATTACTGTGAAAGTCAATGGTAAGAATTATTACAGATGAGAGGCCTGATCTTTATTGAAAACATATTCCAAGTGTTGAAGACTTTTCATTCTTGTAAGTCCATACTTACTTTTCAAACAGAACAGCATAGTCTGTTCATTCATTCATTCAGTTCATGAATTCATTCACATAATTGTCCAATTAGCGTTTCTTGAGCACCTATTTGACAGTCACTGGAAATCCAGAGGCAAACAACACAGATCCACGTTCTACAGTATGTACAGTTTTCCAAAAATAATTCCTAGTCTTTACTTTTTTATTATTATAAATGTAATACATATACTTGCAAATAATTCAGATACTATGGAAGACATAAAATGAATTGCAAAAGTGTCCTTCCTCCCTTCACCACTGTCTCCCATGGCATGCAAAGAGAGTAACCACTATTTTTGTGTCCTTGCAGAAATTTTTTTATTCAACTACTATTTTATAATTTTATTAGGTCTGTCGAATTTCCTTTTTTTGAGCCTCTCTATATCAAATGCAAATAAATATATTAAGAACAAACCCCATTGTAAGGTTCACCCTAAAAAAAGACTTGAAGTCATTCTGAAGGCAAAAAATAATCATATTAAGTGTAAAAGAACCTATTCTTCCAGTACAGTATAAAACTATACTCACTGGGCCTACATTCATCTTGAAAATCTATACTGATGTTGTCTTGGAGAATTGAGGAGGAACTAGTGTCAGTTCCTTGGTATTGACCCACAGTTATGTCATCAGGCCACTTGAGTTCAAAGTTTTGAGTTGGCACTAGCTAAGTAAAGGAAAACACCTCTGCTTTCATTGTTGAGTTTCATAGAATTGAAGGCTGGCTGAAAGGATCCCAGGCGGGAGCAGCTAATCCAAACTCCCACAAAGAACAAAAATCCCCCAGAAGATCTTCTATTCATATATTTCCTGCAGTGGTGTCCCTGTCATATCCCACAATGGCATCCCTGCCATTTGGACTCCCCTACATATCCTGTTGAAACTACTCCCTAATAATAAGCTGAAGTCTGCCCTCTCTAGTTGTAGGTTTGGGATTATTTTGTTTACATGATGACCTTTTAATATTTGACTAGAATTAAATCATATTCCCTTGATCTTTCTACCTCTGGGCTAACTACCCTCAATCTGAGGGCTAACAAAACAAGTAGAAAAGTTTTACATTTGTCACTGATCACTGAGCAATGATTAATCAGTAATCACTGATAACTATAAACTCAAATACAAAATCATATAGGGATTAAGAGAAATGTATCCGTTTTATGATATATTTCTGGTCTCTGATTCTGGCTCAAGTAATGCTACTATTGCCAAGAAGATTTCACTTGTAAAGTAGATTTAATTTTCATTATATTTTACCGTATGCTTCTCCATTCATGACATCTCTTGAGATGTTGTGACTTATATTTTCAGTTTTTCTCCAGTCCATCAGTAAATATCAGGCATCTACTGTGTTCCAAGATATTAAAGAAATCATCACAACTTAGCCTCATCAACAGCCAGCATTGCTAGATCTGGGATGGAGAGGAAGAGTACAAGCCTGGCAGTCAGGAAGAAGGCAGCATAAAGTTTAGGTACTTCCAAAGAAGGTCTCTCATCAGCCTGTAGGGAGTGTATAGGGAGGGGACAGCTGTCCTTGTAGTAGAAGGGTTTTTTTCAGGTCATCTGGGCTCCATAATATCCCTGTGTATCTGCAGTTTTCCTTTGCTATGGATCAACACAATAGGAAATCTTCTGGCACCGATGTTTTTTCTAAGGGGAAGTTCTTCATGGAGCAAAGCAAATGACTACCCAGGTTTGAGGCTGATTTGTTTGAGGATTCCATTTTGTATTATAAATTACTTAATTTGCATTCTAGTCCCAATCCATCTTATTATTTGCATACAGTGTTTATGGGGTTTAATTGAGCCATACCAAAAGTCTGAACCTTCTGCACTTAGAACAAGCCAGCCACCAAGCTTCACTTGCACTCAGTAGGCAGTGTCTCCAATGGAAATGAGGTAGCTTGCTTGCAGGAGCTCTCCAACGCAGGGAAGTAGAACTCCTGAGTCACCTCCAAATGCAAATGATTTCACAGTAATACTGTTGAGCTTTGCTTCCCATCACAGTAAATGTGTGGTAACAGCTTCTCCACAGAGTTTACTCATCATGGAATTTTAAAGGTGAAATATTTTGAAACTGAAATTTGAAAGAATTTAGTTTTGGATTAACTCAATGATCATTATCACTTTGGGGTTACTGTGCCTTTCCACGTTTGTGAGTTTAAATACCAGACTTTCAGGCCTCTAACTTTCAATGAAAAGTATTTTTCTTTAATCGCTGAACCTAATAACAGGGAAAATGAAATGTTCATCAGACTTTCAGGACCTTCAATGAGATTAGGCAGCTGAAAGATCACAGTGTTGCATAGTTATCCCACTAAAGCTATTTGGATCATATGGACCAAATAGCAACCACTGTCATTCCCCACCAACCCCTTCTCTCCCCCAAATTCCCAGCTCTGTTTAAGTGTTCTCTGTAGCATTTATGTCTATCTAGTATATTGTGTAGCATATCATATCATACTTTTCTATTTTGTTTATTGTCTCTCTCCTCCTCCTCCTGGAACATAAACTCTACAAGCACAGAGATTTGGGTCTGTTTTACAATATTGTTGTATCCCCAGGGCTTGGTGTATAGCAGAGTAGTAGTGCAACAAGAGCATACAAAAAATATTTGTTGAGTCAATGAATGAATAATTTCCTCAAATAGGATTAACCTAAAATTTTGGAAACATGAACAGATTTGGATATGTAAAAATTTATTTCCAAGACTGTTCATCAGGAACTGTTGGTACCTTCTAAAGGGTACACTGAAGCAGCAATAATAAAAAGAGGAGGAGGAGCAGTTCTGCTAGTAGTATTGACTACTACTACTATAATTACCCTGTACAACACTCTGCCTAAATTAGTTCATTTCTTCCTGAAAATGACTCTATGGGGTAGGTGCTTCATCATGTAATATCAGTATTTTTCACATTTTACTGTCTCTGAAATCTGAGTGTGTCTTTCAGTGATGGAGTCTTTGATTCCATGATAAGTGGTATTATCTCCATTTTAAGGATGAGGAAACAGAGGTCCAAAGAAATTAAGTAATTTGCCCAAATTCATGCAGATAGTAAATGATAAAGCTAGTTCTAAATCCAAGCAGATTAGCTCTGAAGTCTGAGACCTTAATAACCACGTTTTATTGTCTGTATTTGTACCTCTGGTGTGTGTGTCAAGTTATATATTGGCTTCAAAACTACCATGACCTTTTCTTGGTTTTGATTGTCCAACATTAGTATAGTATACTCTATGGTAAATATATAGAGAGAGTATAGTATACTCTGTGGTTAAAAATACTAGCATATAGTATACTCTAGTATACTCTATGATAAAAGTATGTACTATATAGTGTTCTATAGTGTTTAAAATATATGCTATATAGTGTTATAGATCTAGTAAACCAGGGGTCTGCAAAAAATTTTAATTACTCACCTCATCTGTAAAACATTTTAAACTTATGTGTGTATGTGCATGCACATTTGTGTGTAGTTATAAAAAATTTACTTTTTATTAACATATAGGTTGTTACCATAAGAAATTGCCATTTTTGAAGAGCAAAAGAGGTTGTATATTAGCATTTTCATCTGATTCAACATAATAGACATTTATACAAAAACAGACATTTTAAGAGGATAAAATAAAAATTTAATAAACAACATTTTAATTCTTAGTAATTGTGATACTTCACTATCATTAGTTAATATGTCAAGGCATAATATACCTAGGTGAAATATATCACTAACAAAGGTGGATCGTGTCAATAATATTGAGATTTTTTTTTAATAATACTGTGAGGTCTAATTAAGTACTTATTGTTTATAAGTACTTATTGTCTATTAAGTACTTATTGGCTGATAAAAAGTGTTACTTCTGCTGTTTCCTCTTGGGTTGCGCTTGAATCATTAGTATTATCTTCAATCCTCTGTTTCTTTGTAGGAAACTTTTTAATTAGTTGTTTAATTTCTTAAGATGGTTAGTTTAGTCAAAATTAGGCAAGAGAATTTGAAAATCCATAACTACCCCAAAGCAACCCACTCATAAAAACTGTTATTTTTGTGTTTTGAAATCGTAATTATACTGATTTTTAGTGTTTCCACTGGTAGTGGTTTCATTGATTTAGGAGTACCAAGACATCACTCATTATTTATTTGTTTTGTTTGATCCTAACTGTTTTGTATTAACTCTCTGTGAAGAAATTACATCACAAATCTATTGTTGTCTTTGGTAAAGGATTGGAGAGTTAAGGCTCTAGATCATTAGTGATTACACTACACTATTAGGAGTAAAACAAAGATTCTACCAACAAAATAAGAACATGTTAAAGTACTTGTAATGAATAAACATGAGTAAAGCTCTTATGCTATATAAATGCACTAAACAATGTACTAGAATTGTCAGCAAACTGGGTATCTTAATCCTAGAAGGGTCCCAAACCAGTGATCTCAAATTGAATCAAACTTTCTTCCTTCAGCATAATAATTATTTAAATGATTTATTAAAGTAGCCAACATTTAAAAGCTTAAAAAATAAGTATCGCAATGTGATATCCTTGATAGGACCCCAGAACAGAAAAAGGATATTATGGAAAAACTGGAGGAATGGAATAAATTATGAAGTTTATTAATAATGTACTAATGTCCTTAGTTATGATGACTGTACCATGGTAATGTAGTAGAGAAATGTAATAGAGAAAACTGGGTAAACAGTATACAGTAACCCTATACTATCTTCGCAGTTTTTTTGTACATTTAAAACTTCTAAAACAAAGAATAAATTTGAACATTAAAAAGTATCACCAGAAACATGTATTACTGTTTACAGATAAAACAGTATGCATTTTCATATCTAATTTCTGATCATTGACTTCATATCAGAAAACTAAATGACACATTAAAGTCAGATTTTCTGTTCATTAAATAAAGTCTAAGAAAACAAAGTGTACCAGCTGGAGAGATTCATGTTTATAAAGACAGATTTACAACAACAACAACAAAAATCCAAGAATAAATTTAAGAAGAAATGGGGCCCTATGTAAAAAGTATAGCACTTTACTGAGAAACATATGGAGACCTGAATAAATGGAGAGATATATTTTATATTTGAATAGAAGGACTACTGGTTTGAAGAGAATTCTCTTTGTATTATTTTTTGTAGAAATTTAAGGGGTACAAGAGCAGTTTTGTCACATATTACATAGTGGTGAAGTCTGGGGTCTTAGTATAAATTAATCTTTACATTTAGTTTGAACCCAATAAATGTACCAACATGATTTTTATAGCAAGATAACCATTCCTAGAACCCCAAAGTTGGCCCAACTTTGAAATAAATTGAGGCAGAGCTACCAGGTGTTCCCATTGCTGAGGCATCTGAACATTAAGCATATGCCTCTGAGAACCAGCCTGCATTGATACTCTTTCTAATGTGGACAGCATCAAGCTATGTATCTAGTTCTGTTCTCAACAAAAGCCCTGACTTCTTTTTTGCTTATGACCTAGCCCCATACCACAAAATCAACCAAAGAATTTTGGTTGTGGATCCAGTCACTTCTGAATACGAACTAACATGTCAGGCTGAGGGCTATCCCAAGGCCGAAGTCATCTGGACAAGCAGTGACCATCGAGTCCTGAGTGGTAAGACCACCATCACCAATTCTGAGAGAGAGAAGAAGCTTTTCAATGTGACCAGCACACTGAGAATCAACACAACAGCTAATGAAATTTTCTACTGCACTTTTAGGAGATTAGATCCTGAGGAAAACCATACAGCTGAGTTGGTCATCCCAGGTAATATTCTGAATGTGTCCATTAAAATATGTCTAACACTGTCCCCTAGCACCTAGCATGATGTCTGCTTATCGTGGTCATTCAGTATTTTTGAATAAATGAATGAATGAATAACACTATATTTATAAAATGTATCCTCATTGCTCACCTCCATTCATCCAAATCATATTGTTACGTAATAAACATTCAGCAGGTATTTGTTGGATGTGCCTTTTGTTCCATGTGTTAGTACTCATTGGATACACATAGAATAAGACTCAGTTCATACTCTTCAAGAAACAGATAAAAAACGAATGAACAAACAAACAAAAAACAGGCAATTCAATACCATGTGGGAAATGTTCTTTCATAGCTGGAAAACCTGGGGGAATACCTGAGAGGAATACTCAATTCAGGCCATGTTTCAGGAATCCAAATCCTAGGACATCCAAGCTGCTTCTTTCTTTCCAGGGTTTCTGTGGTAGGAGATAAATTGAACGTATTTTTCTATCTTATGCCAAACAGGAGGGATCCTTTCTCCCCTGTGCCTCTCCCAAGTAGTCTACAACATTTCAACACTAGCAGTCTGGTTAGTGGCCAGGTCATGAGGCTGTGTGTCCCTGGGAAAATTACTAGACTTCTGTGTGCTTCACCTTCCCCGTAGGATTATAACCTACTGAGCCAGGTTATTGTAGGGGTCAAATTAGCAAATGTGTGAAAATGATATGAAACCATTGCCTGCGCAAATTCAACTATTTTTTTTTAATCTTCCTACTCTACAGAAGTAGGTAGGGTGGGAGACAGAGTCTGATGAGAGGCTCAGAATGTAAAAGAAAGTGAGGTGGGTGAGCATGATATTTAATATAAACATAAAGATATTCAGAGAAGAGCTTCTCACTGCCCCTTCCCCCCATAGACGTTGATAGGAAAATGCCATGTACTTCAGCAAAAATAGCTGAAAAATTTGATAGAAATTCAATCAATACGAAAAGATAATCCAGGATGGTCTTGTGAACAGACAGAGGGAAAAAAAAAGTTTAGAAAATGAAGGGGATGCTCTTACTAGGGTATGAATCCTTAGTACTCAATTGACTTTCAGTAAAAACTAGATTAGTGGGTTCCTGTCATTTAAAAGCTTGTTTTATGACAACTTATCTGTTGGTTGGCCTATAATAACTCACTTAACTGTGCATAGTCTGTCTCCTCATCTGTAAATTGGGGATTTTTTTTTTAAATACCTGGCATGCCTAACTGATAAGTTGTTCTGAAACTGAAATAAAATACATATGAACAGGCATTGTAAAGTGTAAGTTGTAGAAAAGGCTGGCTGTTGTTGTGTCTTTAAAGCTTCAGCTGGGTAGTTAGAGATGGATCATGGGTCTCAGTGGAGAGTTGAGCCAGGCAGGAGCTGACTAAGGGTGAGAGGTGGGAGTTCACAGCCTCCGAACATCTGTGTGCCTTGGGACCCCTTTTCCTCCTGCGTGGGACCCCAGACAAGGAGCGTAGTAAGAGATACCAGTGACTAGTTGTCCAGAGATGTTCAAACTGCAGAGAAAGATAAGACAATAAGCACTGGTCTCCAATCATGACCACAGATAGGAGGAGGTGGGAGCTCCTTAGCAGTTCTGGTTGGCCTTCCATGTTCTACTCTGCTATGTACACTAGGCTACTAGCTTCCATATTAAAGAATGCCAGAGGGGCCAGGAGCCTGTAATCCCAGCACTTTGGGAGGCTAAGGTGGGCAGATCACTTGAGGTCAGGAGTTCGTGACTGGGCTGGCCAACATGGTGAAACCCCACCTCTACTAAAAATACAAAAATTAGCCAGATGTGGCAGTGTGCACCTGTAATCCCAGCTACTTGGGAGGCTGAGGCACAAGAATCACTAGAACCTGGGAGGCAGTGGTTGCAGTGAGCCGAGATCGCACCACTACTCCAGCCTGGGCAACAGGGCAAGATTCTGAGGAAAAAAAAAAAAAGAAAGTGAAATAATCAAGGCCATCATTTAATACTGAGTAGCTGCTCCATGTGGTACTATGCTAAGCACTTTATACATTTTAGCCTCACAATAAATGTATTAACATTTGCATTTTGTACACTGGTTAAGTCACTTGCCCAAGACCTCAAAATTGGTTAAGGGCAGCAGAATTTAGCCCCAGCTCAAAGCCTGGGCTTCTTCGACTTCTCTATGTTGTTTCCATTTTAACAGAGGTATCTTACCATTCCAGCCACTCAAACTTTGGCATTTAAGAAAATTAATCTAAAGCTAAACTAAACTTCAAGGATGACTATTCTCCTGACCCCTTCCCATCAAAATTTTATCTTTAGTCAGTTTCTTTTTGTTTTGTTTTGTTTTTCAGAACAACCTCTGGTACTTCCTCCAAATGAAAGGACTCACTTGGTAATTCTGGGAGCCATCTTGTTATTCCTTGGTGTAGCACTGACATTCATCTTCTATTTAAGAAAAGGTAGTATTTCCTTTTGCAGTGGTCTCCCTGGGAATGAGAAGGGGTGAGAATTGGATCAAGGCTGCAAGGAAACCTGACTTAACCTCTGCAAAATGGTGCAAAGGCATTCCACTATTCAACAGCAATTATATTAAAGCTGAGTAGGATCACTGGGTGAAGATGAAGTGTAAGGGGTGAGGGGTAGGAGGATGGGTGTGGATGGAGGTGGAAGAAGATGCAGTGTCATATAATTTTTTCTTTCATGCAAATTACCGTAGACTTTCAGAAGAGAAAGGACTAAAATGCCTGTCATTTTCAGTTACATTTTAGTTTTGCATTAGTTGCACCCAGCTGATTTCTGGGTACCCTAAGTAACAAAAATAGTTCCTCCACAGAGCTGTACTTTTTTACTACAGAGTATTTTGCAAAATGTACGGTAGAGGGTGTTACGTAATTTGCATGTGTTCATTTCTCCATTTACCTGTGGGAACAATTAAAATCCAGGAAAATGAGTGTATTCAAATAATTTCCTCCCATATAAGACAATTCAGAGTAAATAATTCCTCCAATACTTAGAGAAGTATAACAAGAGATCCAGTGACAGTATAGAGTTGTCTGATGTTAAATAGGGAAGTAGAATATGGAAGGGAATTCCAATAGTCATTGAAAAATTCCCCACAACTCCTTATGTGGGGAAAAGTAGTGTTAACTGAGAGAGTAGAGATGAGCTATTTCCAAAAATTACTTTCTTAACAGAACCGAGATAGCAAGAATATAAGGATCAAGTGTCAGTGCCAGTAAGATCCTGAGATGGAGTTGATTTATGCAAAGAAATCATTGTTGCCAGCTTGCATTTTGAATATTTCTCTGGAAAAAAAGATTAGTTGCTAGTAGAAATGGCTAGAAATCAATAGATAATAAAATACCTCAAAATTTGGTCCATCTCTGGGGAAAAGATGATAAATAAAAGTATATAGTCCTCAAAAAGAAATCTAGGATCAAAAGCATGTGCCCTACACTGTTGAATTAATTAACCTCAGAAGTTGGGAGCTGTGGAATAAGGATGTCCACCAGACTTCCTAGGGATTACAAATGTTTCTTAGAACTTGCAATGTAAACTTGGATCACTGTATTGGATGTAGAGCTGTGCTATATGGAAATAAAAATTATTTCTTTTTTTTCAAGGGAGAATGGTGGATGTGAAAATATGTGGCATCCGAGATACAAACTCAAAGAAGCAAAATGGTAAGAATATCAGAAGGGACTGGGAAGTAGAAGGCAAAGGAAACAAAATGGTAAAACAATAACAAGGAGGAATCCATCAGTCATAATCTCCTCTCCTTTTAAAGAATGCTGGTTCCCCTTTGCCTCACAACTAATACAAGAACTCCTCCCTCCATCTGAGGAGGTCTAGGGATGGCCTTCTAGAGTAGAGAGTGGGGAGCAGCTCTGTGGAGAGAGGAGAGGAGCAGGGAAGCGGGAGGAGTCAGCTTCTCTTTGCTAAGCTTCTGTTGCCCTGCACCCTAGCATCTTCCTGCAGCAGGGGACAAGGTTGACTTAGGTGGATGGATAATTAATTGACTCTAAAATATTGTGTGTCAGTATTGTAATACTATGTTAACTGCACCATGCACGGTATCTCATTTAATCCCTCATCCCTTGCTACTAGCAAAGAGAGAGAGAGAGACTAGAATTATCCTTATTTTATAGTAGAGAAAACAGAGGGTCAAGAAGATAATGTAAAGTGCCTGACAACACACAGGTGAAGACAAAAATCAAGCTTGGGGGCCATTAGCCTAACCATAGACCCTTACTCTTAACCCATCTGCTTCAATCCATTTTGCTACAAATGTCTACAATTATAAGCAGGACAGAAAAGCCTCACCCACTTTTTGAACTAAGAAGAAAGTTATATTAAGGTTTCTAATTTTTTTAATGTATTTAGAAAGCAAACTTAACAAGAAGCCCAAGTTTAAAGCAGTCTAATTAAGTTGGACAAGCTCAGGCAAGTTTCATTCTGTGGCCCATAGCATCATTTGTGTTGTAAAGCTAAGTGGCAAATGTTGTTTGGGTCATGCTGGGGACCAGCCATCTCAATTTGCCCAGGACCAAGGGGTTTTTCAGGATATCAGATTTTCAGTTTTAAAACCAGAAAAGTCCCAAGCAAATCATTCACCCTTTATCATGTAAGAATAATTGGGCACAAATACAACTTGCTTCTTTTCTCTCACTTCAAATTTATCATTTATCATATCAGCAGCTATGAGTTATGTTTTTTATTAGATTTTTTGTTACTTTTTCCCAAGACCACTCCCTGTAAAATTAATATACTATTATCACTTTCCAGATACGCAATTGGAGGAGACGTAATCCAGCATTGGAACTTTTGATCTTCAAGCAGGGATTCTCAGCCTGTGGTTTGGGAGTTCATCAGGGCTGAGCATGATCAGAGGAATGAATGGGCCCGTAGGATGCAGGCAATGTAGGATTTAAAAGGCCCAAGCACTGAAAATAGAACCTGGCGAAAGCAGAGGAGGAGAATAAAGAAAGATGGAGTCGAACCAGGAGCCTGGAGGGAGACCTTGGTACTTTCAAATGACTGAGGGGCTCACTCATGCATGTGAAAGGGAGAAAGGATACTTCTGAACAAGGAGCCTCCAAGCAAATCATCCATTTTTCATCCTAAGAAAACAGGTTGAGAATCCCTAATTTGAGGGTCAGTTCCTGCAGAAGTGCCCTTTGCTTTCACTCAATGCCTCAATTTGTTTTCTGCATGACTGAGAGTCCCAGTATTGGAACAGTATTTATGTATGAGTTTTTCTATTTATTTTCAGTCTGTGAGGTCTTCTTGTCATGTGAGTGGGGTTGTAAATGATTTCTTTTGAAGATATATTGTAGTAGATGTTAAAATTTTGTCACCAAACTAAACTTGCTGCTTAATCACTTGCTCACATCCAGTAAAACATGGAGTATTTGTAAGGTGCTTGGTCTCTATAACTGGAAGTACACATTGGAAGCATAAAAATCAAACTGTTGGTTTGTATAGGATGTCACATTTATTTAACCCGTTAATACTTTAGTTTACTTAATCTTATTCTCAGACCTCAAGTGTCTGTGCAGTATCTGTTCCATTTAAATATCAGCTTTACAACTATGTGGTACCCTACACACATAATCTCATTTCATCCCTGTAACACCCTGTTGTGATAACCACTATTATTTTACAGATTTTTCAGCTGAGGAAGCAAACAGATTAAGTAACTTGCCCAAACCAGTAAATAGCAGACCTCAGACTGCCATCCACTGTCCTTTCAGGATATAATTTACAGCTATATTTTACTTTAAGCAATTCATTTATTCAAAAACCATTTATTAAGTACCCTTGAAATATCAATCACATGCCAGGCATTGAATCTACAGATGTGAGCAAGACAAAGTAACTGCCCTCAAGGAGCTCATAGTATAATGAGGAGATTAATAAGAAAAGGTATTATTTTAATTTAGCCCAGTGTCATACCATAAGGATAATGTGAGGAGAAAAGCCAAGCAGTGTTGCCAAGAGGAGGAAATAGGCCAGTGGGGTCTGGGACAGTTGGATATACTTAAACATCTTAATAATCAAAGCAATTTTAGTTTACAAGGAGAGGTCAGTACTTAAAATAACTCTGGAAAATAACACTGGAATTCCTTTTCTAGCATTATATTTATCCCTGATTTATTTGCCTTTGCCATACAATCTGATGCTTGTTTATATAGTGTCTGGTATTGTTTAACAGTTCTTTCTTTTCTCTTTAAATGCTATTAAATTTTAAATTCATACCCTTCCATGATTCAAAATTCAAAAGATCTCATGGGAGAAGGTTTGAAAATCTCCACTTCATCCTCCAAGCCATTCAAGTTTCCTTTCCAGAGCAACTGCTACTACCTTTTATTCATGTTTTCTTCTAAAGATGGTCTACATTTGGAAATGTATGTTAAAAACACATATTTAAAAAAATTTTTTTAAATCTTTAAATGTGTAGTAACACATTATATGTCTGCTGTGCACTTTACTATTTTTATTTATTATAGTGTTTCTTATGCAGTAGATGGAGTGAATTTCAAAGTCCCCAGGGGTCAGGACCCATGTCTTCTTTGTTTCTAAGTCATCTTTCCCATAACCTTTTATTATCTTTCATATGATTTATTACCTGTTAAATATGTGCTACATATATATCTAGACAGCCAGCATTTGTTAAGTATTTGCTTTAGGACTCAGTTTGGATTTGTTTATGTTTGCTCAAAAGGAGACCCATGGGCTCTCAAGGGTGCACTGAGTCAATCTAGTCCTAAAAAGCCATCTTATTATTAACTCTGTATGACAGAATCATATCTGGAACTTTTGTTTTCTGCTTTCTCTTGAGTATAAACTTCACTTTGATGCTGTACTTGCAAAATCACATTTTCCTTCTGGAAATTCCAGCAGTCTACCTTGACTGCTAGCTACCCCGTGCCAGAAAAGCCTCATTCATTGTGCTTGAACCCTTGAATGCCACCAGCTGTCATCACTACACAGGTCAACTAAGAGGATTTCTGGAGCTTTTGAGATTCAGATGCTCTGGAAGATCCCAGTGTTTCCCTTCGCTCTTGTCCATATTCTGGCTTCGATGACAAGGAATGTCTTGGCTTTGCCACACGTCAAGGCTGAAGAAACAGTATCTCCAACAGAGCTCCTTGTGTTATCTGTTTGTACATGTGCATTTGTATAGTAATTTGTGTGACAGTGTCCTTTGTGTGAATTACAGGCAGGAATTGTGGCTGAGCAAGACACACAATCTGCCCAGTCTATTCCTAAGTCCTAACTCCTTCTTGTGTTGGATTTGTAAGGCATATCCCTTTTGTCTCAGTTTCATTGTAAATGGCATAGGCAGAGATGATATCTAACTCTGCATTTGATTGTCACTTTTTGTACCTGCATTAATTTAATAAAATATTCTTATTTATTTTGTTACTTGGTACAACAGCATGTCCATTTTCTTGTTTTCTTTGTGTTTCATAAAATGCTCAGTTTAACATCCAGTGGAGAAAGTTACTTGGAATATTTGCAGCCTTCCTCCTAGTTCTTTTTTCATTGCTTCTGTGCTTACACAGCATGCTTTTGAATACTGCACAATGAAAAAAGTATCAAAAAAATTTATTTTTTTAAAAAAATTATGTATTGAAAATTTTCTTTCTTTCTCATTAAGGAGCTTCCTTTAGGACCATACCAAGAAGAGTCAAAATCCTGTCATCTACATTGAAGATCTGAGGGAGGGAAGGTGGGAGAGAAGGAGTGGAACTCAAGAGTAACAATAGGGAAACAAAGGGACTTACCTCTAAGAAAGTACTCTTCCCAAGACTGTAAATGGGTATGCAAGCCAGTGCATATGAAGCTGGACACATTGCAATCTTTAAGTTTTGAAAACAAAACAAGAAACCTAGAACTATGCCAAGTTGAGGATTAAGGCCTAGCAATGGTTAGGACCACAGATCTGTGGTTTTAAAACAAGTATGACAAAATTTATCATTCAAGGAATTATAGACCTTTTAATGTTTCATCCAGTAAGATTTTAGTCATGAAATTCCATTTCAAAATTCTTTATCACTTGTCTGAATCAGATACTCTTAAAGGATTATAATGGGTATTTCTAAGAATATATGTTTGACTCTAGATGTTTTTGTTTATTTGTTTGTTTTTGAGACAGAGTTTCACTTGTCACCCAGGCTGGAGTGCAATGGCACCATCTCAGCTCAATGCAACCTCTACCTCCGGGTTCAAGCGATTCTCCTGCCTCAGCACCCTGAGTAGCTGGGGTTACAGGCACCTGCCACCACGCCCAGCTAATTTGGTATTTTTAGTGGAGATAGGGTTTCACTATGTTGGCCAGGCTGATCTCTAACACCTGATCTCAAGTGATCCTCCCAAAGTGCTGGGATTCCAGGCCTGAGCCACTGCGCCTGGCCTTTAGATGTTTTTAGTAATGATGATACATTATTTATGCTAGTCCTTGGGCAGTCAAAGCAATTAAAATGGGTGCTAGACATCAAGATATCTCACCTTCCTAATCAGGAAAGGATATGGAGAACCACTCTTCTTGGCTTACCGTGGTGGTATGGAAATTTTGTGATATTTGAGAGGTCTGTATTACAGAAAACTTTATACGAAAATGTTCCATACATTTTTATTAAACTTTTACTCTAGTGCCTTTTACAAGCATGTGACTGTCTGCCACAAGTGGGCCTAATCTATATTTTAAAGTTATATTTTCTTTTTAATTGACACATGTATGGGGTACAGTGTAATGTTTTGATAGAAGTACACATTGTGTAATGATCAGATCAGGTTAATTAGCATATTCATCTCCTCAAACAGTTATAATTTATTTGTGGTGAGAACATTCAAAATCTTCTCTCCTAGTTATTTTGAGTTTTATAATATAATATTGTTTACCATAGTCACCCTATGTATTAGTCCATTTTCACATTGCTATAAAGATACTACCTGAGACTAGGTAATTTATAAAGGAAAGAGGTTTAATTGACTCAAAGTTCTGCATAGTTAGGGAGGCCTCAGGAAACTTACAATCATGGTAGAAGGAGAAGAACGCACCTTCTTTGCAAGGTGGCAGGAGGAGAGAGAGCAAAGGGGGAAGAGCCCCTTATGAAACCATCAGATTTTGTGTGAATTCAGTCACTATCACAAGAACAGCACAGGGGAACCCCCCCTCCCCATGATTCAATCACCTCCCTCCCTCAACACGTAGGGATTATAGGTCTCTCCTTCGACATGTGGGCATCACAATTTTAGATGAGAGTTGTGTGGGAACACAGAGCAAAACCATATCACCTTACTACGCAATAAAACACCAGAACTTATTCCTTCTGTCTAACTATAAGTTTGTGCCTGTTGACCGACGCTACTAATCTCCCCTCCCCATTACCCCAACCCTCTCCAGCCTCTGGTAACCACTATTTCACTTTCTACTTCTGTGAGATCAACTTTTTAAAATTCCAGATGAGTGAGATAATTTAGTATTTGTCTTTCTTTGCCTGTCTATTTCACTTAACATAATTATCTTCTAGTTTTATCCATGTTACCACAGATGACAGAATTTCATTTTTTATGGCTGAATACTATTTGTGTGTGTGTGTGTGTATGTGTGTGTGTGTACCACATTTTCTTTTTTAAGAGATCGAGGAGTCTTGCTATGTTGCCCAGGCTGGCTTTGAACCCCTAGGCTCAACCAGTCCTCCCACCACACCCTCCAGAGTAGCTGGGAACATAGGCATGCACTAATGCACCTGGCTTATATACCACCTTTTCTTTATCCATTCATCTATTGATGGACGCTTAAGTTGATTCCATTGCTTAACTACTGTGAATAGTGCTGCAATAAACATAGCAGTGTAGATATGTATTTATGTCTTTATTTACTTAACTCTTTTATTTATTTAACTATTTTAAAGCTGAGAAATTCAAAATTAACTTTTGTTCTATTGATATATTTGATCAAATCTGTGAAGATGGATACATCCTGTTTTTAGAATTTTTCCCTTCCCAGGCTTTCAAAGTTTCAAGAAAATTGATACAACAAACCAACTTACTCCTATTATAATTTAAACATTTCCAAAATTATTTCCATTTTAAAAGAAGTTAAAGTTTGACAAATGAAGCAGTTGTCAATGGTAGGATTTTATTATTAATTTAATCATGTTATTTACCATTTATTATTGAGCAAGTATCTTATGCCAGGTCTTCATGTGTAAACCATCTCTTCTTTCTACCAATAGAAGACTTAGGAATCTTGGGGTAAGTTATGAATGATAATATATATGAGATCAAAAAGCCTCTCTCTAGGACACTGAAGGTCTTTGGGGACTTAAAAACTTGATTACAGTGATTCAGGCATATAGGAGAAAATTGCAAAGTACACACACACGTACACACACACACACACACACACACACACAAAATAGAAAAGAACTATCTGTACATGCCAGGAAACACTGCTTTAAGAGTGGCTTCATTCTAGGACTATGAAAGGAAAACAAACTAACTGTACAGAAGTCAAAAAATGTGCATGTATTTGGGAAGAATAGGAAACTGCCCTGAAGACCCAGAGTCAGCCAAACCCAAGTTCCAGTCTTCTTAGATGTAATTTAACTTCACTGAACCTGTTTACTTTAAAAATTCCTGTTTTAATTAAAAATTTCATTTACTATTAAAATTGTATTTTTTAATTAAAAATACTTTAAAAGTTAAAGTGTATAGGTTTTCTATTTATCTTAAATATAAAAATAATTATGAATTAGAGTTGTACCAGCTTGAATATATAAATTGATAAGCTTAATAATTTTGGAACTTTTCTTAATGTCAAAGTTAACTAGAACTTATTTTCCTTTTCAAATTACACATTTAAAATTCCAGCATCAGTTCCTTTTTGAGTCATCCAGGTCTCTCACATTAGTAAATATTTAGCTACTGTAAAGCTGAAGTTACTTACGTCGTAACATAACTTGCTTATGGGCAATTTGTAAATATTTATTTTGGATAAGCTATGTTTTGTTTTGCTTTTGAGAAAGATGCTTCTCACTTTTGCTAATTTCAAACAAACCGCTTTCCAGTGGAAAGTAATTCTTTTTATAACTCAAATATTTCTATTCTTTAGTCAAATTTAAAATAAGACATATAAAAACAATGACCTACTGCCTTGGTTTCTAATTTTTCGGAGGTGAACATCACCATAAATGGTAACTAACTTAGAGTAGTGCCTACTGTATCCACTAGGCATTATGGAGAATACAGATATGACCCAGACATGTACCCTGCCCTTAAAAACATGAAGATTAAAACGTATTATCATGATTTACAGGCATGAGTTCCTCCTCCAAAAACAAAACAAAACAATACAAAAGACACATATTACCATGTTTGTCATAAATACAGACACCAAACATTAAAGTGTCAGAAAATAACTAGGGCAGCTTGAACTCAACCTTTGCACTCTCTAATACTTGAATTATATTTTATCAAACCTTTGTTAAGTTAGTTCATGTGGTTTGGTGCCTCAGTGGTTCTAATTCAAGTGTGGTATTTTTGTAGATCCATCTGTCCCAGTGCTATACCACAGCACTAGAACATGTGGAAGAGATTTAACAAAGAGTATTGCCGGGCGCGGTGGCTCAAGCCTGTAATCCCAGCACTTTGGGAGGCCGAGGCGGGTGGATCACGAGGTCAAGAGATCGAGACCATCCTGGTCAATATGGTGAAACCCCGTCTCTACTAAAATACAAAAAATTAGCTGGGCATGGTGGCGTATGCCTGTAATCCCAGCTACCCAGGAGGCTGAGGCAGGAGAATTGCCTGAACCCAGGAGGCGGAGGTTGCGGTGAGCCGAGATCGCGCCATTGCACTCCAGCCTGGGTAACATGAGTGAAACTCCGTCCCAAAAAAAAAAAAAAAAAAACAAAAAAAAACAAAGAGTATTAGCTATGATATGTATGTATTAGTATACATTACATGTCAGACAGTGTTCTGAGTTATTTACATTTACTAATTCATGTAGCCTTCCCAATAACGCTATGAGGAAAGTTACTGTCATCTTCTTCTGACAGACGAAAGAAGCTGAGCCACAGAAAGTTTAGGTAACTAGGCCAAAGTCATGCTACTAATAAGTTATGGCCCCAGAGTGCGAGCACAGTTTGACTTCACAGTTTGCTGTTACACCCCTCACTATGCTATCACTAAATAATTATGAGTCATGTGAATGAAGGGATTTTAAAATCTGACAGTACTGGAACAGTATAGTAAGCCGATACTTTCCCGGGTTGGACAACTCCAGAAGCAGTCTGATGTTTGTTTGCCTGGCTTTTGTTTGTTTGCTTTTCTAGGCAATGGGGGCTAATCTGACTAGTAGTGCTGTAGACATTCTAGTATATGTCTTTCAATTAATCTTTGAACTCTTTTTCTGTTTGGTATACATCTGATGGTACAATTGCTGAATTCTTGGAATATACATAAGAAAAGAATTTCT